GACACAGTAGCTGGCCACCTCAGTGAAAAAGGTGGGAAGAGGTAGCAAAAACTCAATTGATCAGTTGGGCATGTAGTAGTTGGAGGCACAATAGAATGGGACCTACTGCACATAGCTGAAATGAAACCTTAGGATTTTCTTATTTATATTTTTTATTTGAAACTAAAAATTTTATTGGTTTTTATTGCTCCCGATTTCTGTTAACTGGAACTCCCAAGTCTTTTTTGCATTCAGTTTTATTTATAATCTTTATTATTTAGTTTATAAGTCCCCCGTGGTTATGTTCTTCAACCAAGATTAGAACTTGAAATTTGTCCACATTAAACTGTATCTGCCACTTCTCCAACCACATCAGACTATCTATTCCATCTTATAACTCTAGTATCCTCATCATAAATTATTTGATGGCTTGTTTTTGGTGTCATCAGTAAACTTACTTATGTTTCTGTTTATTCCCTCACACCTTGGTTTTCGTAATTAATCTGTTCAAAAAAGTCTGATGAAAACCGAATCGTATGAAAACTAAAGTAATATTCCCATAAGAAATAATGTAAATCCAATTAATCTGTTCCAGATACACAAGACTATTAACAAAAAATACATTTTATAGAGAATAAATATAAATAACTAATGAAATGGATAAATCAACATTTAACATCACTTTTACCATTATTGACGACTCTTGTTGGCATATGGGAGACTGCTAGGAGGGGAGAGGGAAGAGGAGGAGAGGTTATTGTTTGGAAGGGAAATCCCTGACCATAAGGAATTCAGGTATCAAGGCCCTATCCAGGGTTACTTCCCTTCTTTGTCTTTTACTGGCACTAGGTCCAGCTTGAGTCACTGGACCTCTGTCGCACAAAAAATCTGTCCAGAGAGGTCTATTTCTGGCATCTCTTTAAGATCTGCCTAAAATGGGACAAGGCATTGTCATTGAACATGTTGCAGACATGGCTTGCAATAGCTTTGTTAGGGTGATATTTCTCCACAAAACTTTGCAACTCATTCCACTTTGCACACATGTCCTTAATCACTGAAGAAGGCACATTCTCCCCTCTCTCTTCCTCCTCTGAAGCAATTTCCTCAGCTGCAGTCTGTTGCTGTTCCATTTGAAGGTCTTGCAGCTCTTCAGTGGTTAGCTCTTCCCTGTGGTCGTCCACCAACTCTTCCACACCCTGGCCACTCACATCCAACTCCTTGGACTTCCCCAAAGACACAGTAGATTCCACAACAGGTGTAGGGTCATTAGGGTCAGCCTCAAACCCTTCAAAATCATGAACGCAGGGGATGCTTTGTGTGGGCACTCGATTCCGGGAAATGAGTGGCCGAGTCATACAGGCACAGTGTCATTAGCAAAAAGCATCTGTGACTACTCCTACTTTGTATTAGACCTATATCTTTTAATCCAACACCCCTAGCATTCACTTCATTAGCAACTACATCTATAAAAATGCTAAATGTTGTTCACTTCAATGCTTCAATGTAAACACTTGATACACAAATAACCCGCACATAAAAGAGAGAAGCTTATGACAACGTTTTGGACCGACTTGGACCATTTACAAAGTGTGACTTTGTAAATGGTCCAAGTCAGACCGAAACGTCATCGTAAGCTTCTCTCTTTTATGTGCGAGTTATTTGTGTATCGTTCCAGTCATGGTATTGTGCCTTTTTTTGTTATTTAAACACTTGATCTACACACCCCCCTACCCCCCCTGCTTTCCTTCTTTCCCTTAATTCTTTTAATAACTCTACAATGCACTATACCTGGTACTTTCAACAGGCTTATTCCCCTATAATTAGTGCACTCTCTCTTGTTCCCTTTTCTTGTATACAAAGAAACTATGCACACTGCCAGTCCCTAGGTACCTTCTGGAATTTCATAATTTATTGAACAAAAGCATCAACCACTCCAAAACTGTATCCCTACCTGCTTTTAACATTTCTGTCTTGATCCCATCAATCCCAGTTGCTTTACCTCCTTTCATTTTACTCAGCCTTACACACCTCCCCCACACTCACATCAGGCTCTTCCTCACTCCTAAAATGTACCTCCCATGCCAGTACATGAAATCACTGCCTCCCTCTCTTCATCAGCAGTAACAGCTCCTGAAAATATTCCCTCAATCTTCCCAATACTCCAATTCCCCTCTTCTGTTTTTAAAATTAAATCCCTTTGTTCTCTAGGCTTTCTCAGCTTATTGGTCTCACTTTCAAAACTTTTTCTTGTTCTCAGCAAAAATTTTTGACAGAACCTCACCATTCTCTCATTTGCTCTCCTTTTACACTCACTCACCACTCTCTTAACCTCTCTCTTCATCTGCATATCCTCCACCCTCTTTCTATCACTTATGCTTCATATATCCTCTCATGTGCAAATTTTTTCTCTCTTACCACCCTCTTTACCTTTTCGTTCCACCAGTTGCTCTTCTTCCTTTTCATGCCCACCCTCCTATATCAGTAAACTTCTGCTGCACTTTCTGACACTACATGTGTAAATCTACCTCCCACCTCTTCAACCTCATTACCTATACTCTCACTATCTCATCTTTCTCCCAACAGTTGTTTATATCTTACCCAAGCTACTTCCTCCTTTAATTTATAAATTTACTCACTAATGCTATTCTCCTTGTACCCCATTTACATCTTACTTTTACTGTAGCTACAATTGATTAGTGATCTGATATATCAGTTGCCCTTCTAAAAACATGCACACCCAGAAGTCTTCCCATCAACATTTCATCCACCAATACAAAGTCAACAAACCAGGTATACTCTAGGTATGCACATAAACAGAAAATTTACTCCACTTCTTGTATAATAAAATATAGCCAGGAAAGATTGGTCATGGTTTACAGCATCTTAATAATTGAATCAGACCTATTAAAAACCCATAAAACAGACTGGGGGTTTTAGGGAGCCCTTACCCGTCCTTTGGAATATCAGCAAAAATTTAATAGTTCTGCTACTTTTAGTTCAGTTCTAAGTTACTTCCAGTTGAAACCAATCAAAATCATTCTATCAATTGATGCCAAGAAACAGCCAATAAAACCTTAAAAACTACCTCAGAAAATGCCTCAAAGTCGCTATTTTAAAAAACCATACACCTGGTCATAGTTTTGTTTTCCCATCATGCACCCTGCAGGACAAGATTTTTTATATGTGGTGCACACTCACTGCACAGACCTATTCTCTCATATCTAGGCCAAAATTTACCTCTCACAGCTTACATGAGTGAGCTGAGCTCATGACGTAGAACTACGTCAGGGACCTTGGCCTTAATGACATGGTTCTACATGACGAATGGTGAAAGGGTTAATATTTACAATGCAGGATAATAGTAGATATCATAGTTATTAATAATCATCAGTAAAAAAATGTCAAAAGTATTCGATAGTACATGGACATGTAGTCAGTTTGAAGTCCTTGTCATAGAACTCACTCTGTACTGCTCTTTAATCTACCCTTACCTCACATTTGGTATACATACACAGGAATCTACAACAGTAAATTTCCCAAAGCAGGAATCTATTAGACTCCTCACTCAATCAGGGTTTTCAGCAACATTGCCCATATTCAAAAGCTAAAATTTGCTCAACACAAAATATCTACATTTACTACTCTATACAGGACACTCATTGCAAATATTTACCCATTGCTAACACTCTCCTCTCAGGTCTTCAGCAGAATGCATGCATACAGTACAAGATACTAATACAGTATCTTTAGTATTCCACATGTTTGACTCAACCTGAACAGAAACTTGTACAACAGGTTAGGTTCTGGGCTGCTGCTGTAAAACAGAAATTGCTGTAAAGTGAAGTTTAGCCTTTTTTCACTTTCAAATACAAATTAAAGTCTGATAACATGTTTACATTATCATATATTAAATGAGTAATAGAGTTAGACCTAAAAAAAAATGCATATACAGTACACACATTACTCACCTTAAAATATTTTTGTCCTTATCTTATGGATAAGATCTGAGTAAATGAAGAATGGATATAATTGAAAACCACTGTATAATGAAACACCATAAAGGTGTTGTAAAATGGGGCCCTCCTGTACTTCCCACCTACAGGACCTAAGTCTGGCTAACTGGTTTCCTGAATCTTTATAAATCTTACCTTTCTCACACTCCAAGAGCTTGTCAAGTTACAAAATTCGCTTGCCTCTGCTCACTCCAGTCTGACTTGCTCAAAGCATCTAGCACTCAAAACCCTCCTTAACCCCCCTCCCTCCAACCCTTCCTGAGATGACCTATACCACTCCTTTCCCCAACTCTTCCTGAGATAACCTTTACCCCCCCCTTTCAACCCTTCCTGAGATGACCTTAACCACTCCTTTCCAACCCTTCCTAAGATGACCTTTACCCCCCCTCCTCCCTCCAATCCTTCCTGAGATGACCTTTACCACCCCCTTCCTCCAAGCTGAATGTATATGCATTCCTAGTCATCCTGTTTTGCTCTTTCCTCTCTAAATATACAAAGCACCCCTACAACCCCCCTTCTGCCCTCTATAATACTTGCGGTGACCCCACACCTACCCTCCAGTGATTGCTATAGCTAAAATTGGCAGTACAGTTTTGTAATACTGTTTCTTCATACTGACATTGCTGTTTTAATATATAGAGTTTTGTTATTTAAAATTATCATTACATTTAATAATGTAATCTTCAGATAAGTTAATTTTATTAAATTTATCGTTCAAGTAATTTCACATCAACTGTACCGTGCAACTTGTGTAATGTTAAGTAGTTTTAAGTCGTAGTTTTACTCTGACTAAAATGTTCTGCACAGTTTTGTTTTTGTTTGTAATCCCTTATTTGGAAGCAAATATAGTTGAAAAGTGCCAGAGTACATACAGCAGAGGGGAGGTTCAATAGTTTCTAGTGAACACTTGTCCATTATTTTATCTTTGAAAGATGATTTATATACATTATTTAAAGTCAATAGATAATATTTATTAGTGTAAAAATTTAATTTGTAAATAAATTTCAGGTATTGCAATTGCTGAAGAAATATTTACTGAGTAAACCAAGCCTGTGTGATCCCAACAATGTCCTCTACGTAAACTGTGGGGACGATTCTCTTGGCCAAGCCTTAGGGGTTGAACGTTTCCATTTTAAAGATGTTAAGTAAGTACGAATCAAGTAAGACATACATGTACTGGTCAAGACACTTATAAATGTCTTGATCAGGGCATTCATATCTTTTATCTTCAGTTTGTCAGTTTTACTGTACCAGCTTCACCCAGGTTTGAAGTGTATATTTGTATATCATAAGATTATTGTTTTAGGTAGTAGGTTGGTAGACAGCAGCTGCCCAAGGAGGTACTACCATACTGCCAAGTGAGTGTAAAATGGATGGTAGGATTTCTGGTGTCTTTTTTCTGTCTCATAAACATGCAAGATTTCAGATATGTCTTGCTACTTCTACTTACACTTAGGTCACTTAACACTTTCATGTACAAGCATATATATACACACCCCTCTGGGTTTTCTTCTATTTTCTTGCTAGTTCTTGTTCTTGTTTATTTCCTCTTACCTCCATGGGGAAGTGGAATAGAATTCTTCCTCCATAAGCCATGTGTTTCATAAGAGGCAATTAAAATGCCAGGAGCAAGGGGCTACTAACCTCTTTTCCTGTACCGTAGAGCCCCTCTTTACAGCGTTCCGCTAATACGGACAATTCAAATTATGACCAAAACTCGCTCTACAGCTCCCCCCATCCCCTCCCGACTTTCTAATACAGTCACCGTGCCCCACCTGATTTGTTTATATTCTCCGTGAGCTCTGTGATCACCATGTCTCTCCATTATGTTTGGAAATTTTCCAGAATTTCAAATACAGCAGGGTTAAATTGGGCCAAGTATAAAAAAGTTAAATTTTTTGGATTTTAAATAAAAAAAACCCCCAATCCTCACCCAACTGGGGGTTAATAAAAAAAAAATGTTGATTTTTCAATTAAAAAAAGAATTTGCATGTTTTTTTCTATTTTTTTTTTTTTATTGAATTTGGGAAATTTTTTGGTTTTCAAAATAAAAGGGAACAAAAAATTTATTTACCAAAAAATTTTTTAGGAGATTTTTTAAAATTGGGTTTTTTGAATTTTGGAAAATTGAAAAACTGATCCAAAGTATTGAAAATTGTTAAATTTTTTGGCCCAAAATTCAAAGAGGTAAACAAAATAAGCTAATAAGGTTGTTGGGAATAAAATTCCAAAATGGGGAAATGGAAATTTTTAAAATACAAAAATTTAAAATAAGCATAACCATTTAAAATTTCTATTTTTTTTTAAAAAAAATTTTCTTTTTTTAATAAAAAAAAACAATTTTTTTTTTTAAAAGGCCTTTCAAACTCCCTTTGGGGCCTTGGAAAGGGGAAATTTAATTGGGGTTTTTTCCTCATTTTTTTTCCATCTACCCTATTTAAAAAATTTTAAAAAAATTTTTTGAACTTTGTGTTAAAATAAAATTAAAATTTAAAAAAACCCTTTACCTTGTTTTGCTTACTTGGCAATTTTCTTTCCAACGTTGCTTGGGAAGAATCTTTTAAAGTGGGGAAAGGGGGGGGTTTTGGGGGTTGGGGGGTAATTGGGGGGCCAAAAATGGGGGGTTAAAGGGGGGGGAAAATGGGGGATTTTGGGTTAGGGGGGTTTTTGGGGGGTTTTTTGGTTTTTTTTGTTTTTTGTTTTTTTCCCTAAAAAAAAATTTTTTTTTTCCGGGGGGAAAAAAAAATTTTTTTTTAAATTTCCCTTGGGACCCCTGGGTTGGGGGTGATCCAATTTGGGGCCCCCTTTTGGACCCTTTAAAAAGGGAATTTACTTTAATTGTTCCCTTTCTGTTTTTCCCCTTAAAGTCATTTTGTTCTTTTTTAAAAAAAAAAAATTTTTTTATAAAATGAGAAAAAGGGGAATTTAAAAAATTAAAGGGGTTTTGAAAAAACCCAATTACCCTTCAAGTAGGGCTCCTCAACGGGGGAGGGAATTCCCCATTTACCCAATTTTCGGGCAACCCCTTGTTATTTGAAAATTGGGGTATTTTTGGGGGGGTCTTTTTATGGTGGTGGGTTTATTTTGGGGGGTGGGGGGAAAAGGGGGGGTTTGGGTTTAGTTGGGGGGGGTAATTTGGGTGTGGTGTTGGTGTGTTGTTGTTTTGTTTTTGGTTTTTTTTTTGTTTTTTTTGATTTTTTTCAACCCCCCAAAATTTGTTTCAGGGCGATTATTGGGTTTTCCCACCCCTATAAAATTTGATTTCCCCTAGTTGATTTGGAGGGGGTAGTTTTGCCTCTTAAACTGGTAAAATCAACTTTTCCTAACCTTTAAAGCTTTTTTTAAAGGGTCTTTTTTAATTTTTTAAAGTTTAAACCCTTTTTCTGAAATTTTTTCCATTTTTTTCCCTCCTTTTTGAAAAAAAAAAATTTATTTTTTTTAAAAGAAAATAATTAAAGCCTTTTTTTCCCAAAAAAAAATTATCAAAAATTTTTTTTCCAAACCGTGGGAATTTTTTATGGGTCCCCGAAAAGTTCTCTCCAACTTTGGGGGCCTACCATTTCCCCATTTTAAACCCCAAAATTTTAGAATAATTTTTCCAGTTGCCAAACTAAAAAAGCTTTTTCTTTAAACTTTTTTTATCATCCTGATAAAAGAAACCCTTCCATTTACAAATTTGGGAAAAATATTTAAAAATTTGGAATTTTGGGCCTTTCAGCTTAAAAAGTGCCCCTTTCTGGGCCCCAAATTCCGGGAAAAACCCTGGCAAAAATTTAACCCATTTTTTTGTCTTTCATTATTCCCCTCCGCTGGGGCCCCCCCCTTAAAATATTATTGGATTGCTTTTAAAATTTTTGATTTTTTATTTTTTTTCCCTTTTTACCAAAATTTAACTGTTAGGGCCTCCCGCCCTGCATTTTGAAAAATTTAAAAAATTAAAAAATTCAATCCCTTTTTAAAAGGTTTTGCTCCCAAAATTTGACAGTTTTTTTTGGGTGTGGTTGGGATTTTTTATCCCCCCCCGGAAAACCCGAACTTTTCCCTTTAATTTTGAGCTTTAGTTTCGGTCTTTCTCGTGTTTTTTTTTGTAATTGTTTATTTTATTGGGGGAATGAAAAGCAAATTTTTACAATGTTAAAAACTATTTTAAAATTAATTTTTAAAAATGGGTTTTTGGGGTTCCAAAAAAAAAAAATTTTTTTTTTAGGAAAGGGGGGGTTTTTGGGGGGGGGATGGGTGAGGGGAAAAAGGGGAACTAATTGGGGGGGGGTAATTTTCCCCCCCCGGAAAAGGAAAGAATTTTTGGTTTAAAAGGGGGGAACAATGTCTTAAAGGGTATTTAAGGAAAAAACAAAGGGTTTTAAAGGGAGGGGGGGGATTTGAAAAACGTTTAAAAAAATTTTCCCTTTTGGGACAAGGTGCGGGGGGGAATATTTAAATTTGGATTACGTGTTTAACCCTTAAGTCCCCCTTTGGGGGGTTGTGTTACTCGGAAAAAGGGGGGTTTTATTTTTTAAGGAAGGGGGGAAAAGGTCGTTATTAAATGGCCCCCAACCTTTTGCCCTTTATTCCTTTGTTTTCCCTTAATTCCTCGGGGGACTAATTTGGGGGTTGGGATGTTTTTTTCAAACCCCCTTTTTGGGGTTTCTTTTCCGGGTTTTGGGATATTTTCCAAAGGGTTCCGGGTTTATGAGGGGGGGGGTTTCCTCCACGGTTTTCGGGCCCTGAAAATTCCTTTATATAAGTTGGGAATCCCTTTTTTTGGGGTTTTCAAAACCCTATTGCTTAAGGGGAAAAGGTTGGGAAGGAAATTTAGGATTCCCTTTTTTTGGTTTTTTTAAACCACACCCCAATTTTTTTTGAGTAGGTTTTTTAAAGGGCCTTTTTGGCCCCCGGCGGTTGTCGCTTTGGGGGTTGGTTTTTTTGTTTTGTTGGTGGGTGTGAATAATTTAGTTTTTTTTTTCGTGGTTTATGTTTCCCCTTTTTGATCTTTGTTTTTAAAAAAGGGGGTTTTTGGGATTCCTTTAACCCCCCAAAAATAAAACCCCCCATTTTTAATCTTCAAATTTTTAAAAAAACCAGAAATGAAAAAACGAAATTTGTTTTTTTCCAATGCGGGTTTTTTTAAAAATTTTTTTTTTCCCTAGTTTTAAGGCAACAAATACAACAAAAAAATAAAATTTCTCCCCTTTAAAAAGGGTGGTGCGGGTGTTTTTATGATTTTTGGAAGAGAAGGAGATTTTATGCTAGGGCCCCAAACGGGGCTAAGGGGGGATGGAAAAGGGTTCGGTACTAAATTTTGATATTTTACTGGAGTGTGCATAAATTCGAAAGGGAAACTCGGGGCCTTTTTACCCAGCAGTACTTTATACACCTGACAAAAGACGCCAGCGCCCTTACCCGTTTCAGAGCATGCTTTAGTTTTGCAGGGTCCTCCTTCAATGAAAGAGTCTAATTTTTGTCAGTAATTCAAGTCAATCAACAAGTCATTCAAAAACCCAAGTCATTTAACCCAGTAAGGTGTAAACCCAAATCGGTAATTTTAATGAGCCAAGTCAGAAAGGGTCAGGTCAGTCAATCGCCCCATAAGTCAGTCCATCAGTAATTTAGTTTCTGTACAACTCGCAAAAATTCAAGTTTAGTACGGAATTATCAAAAGGGCATAAAAGCTGGGGCATTTTTTTCCAGACTTCAGAAAAAATTGATGTTTGGGAAACCCGCAATAAAAAGGGCTTCAGTCCCCCATGGGGACTATTAAAACAACCAAATAAAATCAAACCCTTTTTAAAATTTTTTTCCACTTAAAAGGGACGGGGAATTTGGGGCAAACATAACATGGGTCTGCATTTTAAATTTTTCACCTGTTTGGATTGGTGCACAGCAGCAAGCAAAAAATACCCGCCCTTGTTTTCAGGTGCAATTTTTTTTTTTGCATGCCGAAAAGTTCTAGGCATCTTCCAAAAAAAATAAATAGTTTAGAAATTAAACCATGTTTTGGGGCATACCCAAACCCTTAAAAAAAAATTTTCCCTTATCTTGGAAAGGGAAGAGTCCCTACACTGAAAGGGTTCGGGAAAAGATGTACTTTTAAACCACTAATCTTTGTTAAAAGCCTACTGGGGCTTTTTTAAAAATTAAACTGAACCACCCGGGTTTTCTTTTTCC